AGATGGCTCCAACGCAGCCGTAAAACAGCCAACCTGGCGCCTAGATGGCTGCACATGTCCCCCATTTGGAGCCAAAATAGTTCGCAGAAGCTCACTTAAAATCCTGGTCCTGCTGGGGGAGGGCTGAACATAATCTGACAGATAGCTTCAATATTACAGCATCACCCCGTGAAGCTCCATTTCACTAACTTCGGATGTTCGTGCGCGGTGTGGGCTGTCGACGCGAAGCGTCTTGAATATATATAATTAATCCCCTACTCTGCACTCAAAGACAGGGGTCTCACTAGGAGTTCAGAATTCTTTCCAACCAGCCAACAATAAAAACAAACCTTGCCACAATTCTGCTGAGGCCCATGCGAAGGACATCTCCGTTATAAGGACACTCTTCCAATCTAAGGGCAGTAGAGCTGTGATGTTTAATCCGTCAATTTTGCTTACCTTTCTTGTATGTATGTATTCCAAGGATTGATTTTTTTGTATGCATGGAATAGGTTTTTTTTCAAGGGCTTGTAGCAGGTGGTTTTTCTTGTACCTCACTTGTTGCTGTATTGTCCGCATAAAATTGCCAAGCATCATATTAGGTCAACAGAGATATACAGAGCTAAAACTGCTGTAGCTCTGCGCTAAAGCTTGTCCTAGAACAATGCTTCTTTTATTATGATACAAGACCACGCTCTTGTTGAGCTTCATGGAAAGGGCACGTCCTTTTAGTTGAGGCTGGCAGCCAGCGACTCACTTCAGATGCAGCTTTGTTCGCCCTTTGTTCAGATCCAGGAACCTCTAGAAGTCTGAAAAACTATCTCTATCAATGCACAATTATGAATATATAAGAATATGTATATATATATATATGTGTGTGTGTATTGTATATAATATGCCATGTATTGTGTGTAGGTCTAAGTCTTCCACCCCTAACAAAACAACATCTTCTGATACAAATCCAAGGTCACAGGCCTTGCCTGTGAGCATCTCTTGGGAATCGTGTTCCCACTCCTTGCAGCCTTGGCCCTGGCAGCGACGCTGGTGGATTGGTGGATGGTTCGAACCTTCGTGGTGTAGTTGTTGGGTTTTCTTTACCTCGGGATGTGGCAGCCACCATGCCTCATGGCAATAGGGGGTGCCCATCTTGTGTTCTCAAAAGCCATCATCCAAGAACAATGTATGTAGACACCAGTACAAACCCCCCATCAAAACCATGGTCATGTCAAGTGGCTTCCCGGCTACACCAGTAAAATCGGTCCATTCGATCGATCCTTCCAGTTGTCTGTCAATCCCCATTGACACTGCCATTGATTTGCCAATGATGGTCGGCATCTGCAAACCAATTCTTGCGAAATCCCACATCATTGGCTCTGAACAAACGTCTGCCCCTCTGCCCCATTGTCAACCAACTGCACACTGCACGCAACACGATTTGCATCCAGCCTTCCAATTCACCCAATGAACTTCTCTTGCCAGCAGGTGTGTCACCATCCTTGGATGCACACCCAACGACACCACGCTGGAAAGAGACTTGCACAATCGTGGAATCGTGGTATAGTCGGTATAGTCAAGTGTTGCCCTGCTGCTGCTGCTGCTCCTGCTCATGGAAAATTCATACTGCATATATAAGCCAAGTTTGGATTGCATGGGCTGTCCATCCCACTACCCCTTGTACCAGCAATGAGTGCCCCTCCTACCATAACTCCTACTATCTCCTATCCTAACAATACATACAGTATCCAACCTGCTCACTTGAAGAAGCTTATTGCAGTTTTGGTCAAGGTCAAGCTACAAAAGACTTGACAATATGGATACCACAACACAACGAACGATTGCAGTTGATTGCAACCATGATTGCTTTTCTCGCCCGACGACTGTATCTCCGATCGCCCGGGCCGTCCCGGTTCCGGCGGATGTTCCGGTCGGGCGACTCCGCAGCACCGGGGCGGGTGGTGGCTAAGCAGCGCTCGATGAGGCTGCGAAGCTTTTGGAGTTGCTCTTGGACTTCTTTGGTCCTTAGGCGGCGAGCAGTCTGTTCGGCTGGATACATCCTGAGGGTCCTTGGGCCTTTGGCTGGGTATGTCGATCCGGGATGCGAGAAAACCTGCGAGAGTATATCGTACATAAGTAGCAAATCATGACATCTATAATTACATACATATATCTATGAACATATGAATGTATTATTTATGACATCTGTTACAAATGACCATCTAACCCATCGATGAGATATAGTCATAGTACAGCAAATAACGATGGTGACGGGATGTGACTGGTCATGATGCCAAAAGACCTGGGACAAAATGACAGGATGGCCGTTGATGGCCATTGATATGGTCATGGAGGTTGCTTCTCAAACCCACCGGGTGATTCACTGACCGATAGGCTTACTGGGACAACCACTGCAAGGCGCTGTCGGTCACCAGGCACCCCTGTGGTTGGTTTGTCCAATCCCAAGCGCAAAAAGGAACCGTAAGGTTGCTACCCAATTTGGGTGAGGTCCTTGTCATCCAGACTTGTACCAAAGGAAAGCCATGGCTTTTCAGCGTGTCTGCACGACCATTTGACATCAACAACATCAACATCAAAACTAAACTAAACTAACTACCAGGCCAGTTTGATGTAGTGCCACCAAACTGATCTGGTCATCCAGGCCTAATGGCCCAATACCCAGGTCTGGCCCGAGCAGCTGTGTGGAAATCAGCCCGCCAGGTCGGACTTTCACCGAGACGTCCTGCCTCGGCGCGGCGCTGCGCTGCGGCCTCCGTAGCCCTCACGTTGGGTCTCAACTGGCGGAACCTGCTCCGTGACAGGAGAGTGCTGCGATCTGGAGAACCAGCTAGCTCTGGAGACACTCCCCCAACTTTCCAAGTGGCTCCAGTGCTTGGAAGGCAATCAACACCTGGCCAGCACCCGGCTTGAGTTGGATCAAGCGGCACCTCAAATCTTCAAACCCTTGGGCGGTGGGTGCCGGCAAGACCAGGAATTCCTCCACAATTACCGAACACTAGGACGGCCGGTATACTTGGTGCAAAATGGGTGAGAACTGTGGCACAGTAGGTCAGTAGGTGCAGCAATGCGCAGCATATGCCTTTACGGCTTTATGTATGATATATATATATGCATACTTTATACAGAGTCCATGTGACTGGCTGTCATACACATGTGTGGGCACTTTGGCTTTCGTCATATAGGGGAACTAGGGACCTCCTACTTTTGTCGTAGCCACTGACCAGTGGTTGATAGAGATTCATGGAAGAAAGGCCGCATCAGCAGGAGAGAACTTTTGTTGGCACTAGCCAGGTCTAGTCACATAGCCCAGTCTAGCAACAAGTGCCTTCGCTGCCATACCCATGCAGCATTCTAGACAGTGACAGGTAGGAGCTTCAGCACTTGACATGATTCCTGCAGCGAGTGCAGCGAGTCAATGGCCTTGTTCACTGTGCAAACTCTACACGTCACGGACAGCAGTACATCGGACAGCAGTCACTGACAGCAGTAAGGCCGACAAGCTACCTGTACGAAATGGGGCAACAGGTCCCCGAAATACCGAGACAAAGCCCAATGCCAAATCAGCACTGTACATCTTGGCTACTTTAAATTAAACGTTCAGTTTACAATGTGTGCAACTCTTGCTCCTCTTTGTCGCGCCAAAGGTGTTAGGCAAAATGTCCTCCTCAAACTCGATGAATGTATTTCGCACCACTAATTTGGGGACATCAAGGTTGAACACGGGGTTGCTCGAAGGATATGCCAGAAAGTGTGGAGCAACATCCTGGCGGTCACATTGGGTAGATGTGAAAGTGCAAGGGAAAAACAAACTCATGGGATCTTGATATGAACTAGATGTGAGATGCTGGATCCTAAGTTTGCAAAAAAAAACAGACATGTGCAAGTAGCAGTCGATCATCCTCAAGCATTGCCCGTTCATCCAGCCAATTCTCCCAGAACATAGCTGGTGTATGTGGGGGGTGGTCCCTGGGTCACGTTTTGAACAGTTGGTACCGTTGAATCTTGTTCCTGCGATCCTTTTGATTCCACCCACCCATCAGCTAAAACGTGCTCCAATTTCACAGCAACAGGTTTGTTGGCTAAAAATCTAGGCAAATACAACAACACATGAGACCTGGAGAAAGGGCACCAAAACATATCAGAAGCCTAAAGGCCGTCTTTCTACCTATCCAGCTCCTTGCTCGGAATCTGGCACAATCCACCCTGAACGTATGGCATGCAGCTATGCATAAAGAATAGACTAGACCAAGAAGTCGTCCACAGCGCTGGCGGTACCCTCAGAGCTGTGGTTCGCTCATCTGCCAGAATGGAGTGAGATCCCTTCTTTGACACTTGAGTCCCACGTTCTCTTCACCCCACCCAAATGACAGGGGGGCTGCTGGGGGAGCCCTGGTTGGGACATGGATGAAAGCGCCCATCAATCCGATGCCCATGATCCTTTGTGCCGAGCATCAATACTCAGACTGGGCGCTGAAGTCCCTCCGCTCTTCCGACGATAGGCGGCCTTTTGCCAGCGGAAGGCTTCCAAACAGGATGCCCTCACGTGCTCCCAATCCTTCCATGTTCAAAGGCTGCGGGCACGCCGCGGCTTCGGTCGTGGTTTCTACTCGTGATGGGACAGCCAGGGGTGGACAATCAACTCAACAAAGAGCAATGTTTGATGGTGTTTGATGGGGCTTTCATCTCTTGTGGCATCTACATTTTACTTTCTTTTTAACATATACTAATTAGTTGCGTAATACGTACAATGCAATAGAATGAATACTAATATACACGTATTAACACAAAAAAAAATATTTAGATTCAGATATATACAAATGTATATATATATGCCATGTTCTCAACTCATCCTTTCAAGGCACTGAAACACTCAGAAAGTGTGCAAGCCAGGTGGTTGGTTCACGTTCACAGGGGTGTGCCCAGCTTTAAGATTCGTCTGTAAATGTAGACTCTTGATGAATAACCCCCCATATGAATAGCACTTTCAATTCAAGTGGGGTGGTTTATTAATCAAGAGTCTGCAGTCTGCATTGATTATCCACATTTGTCTCTTTTCGTCTCTTTTCGACCGTCTCCTGTCGCAGCATCACACACTGGTATGGCACCAATCTTCTGCCATCCAGTGTCTCGTGGACGGGCACGTTGTGTCCCAACTGCTGCAGGAAGCGCTGGAGATACTCGGCTAGGCGGAACTTGCCGTCTGCCCCGGAAACCAGCCAGCGCTTCCAGAAAGCCAAGCCCAACTCTTGTCCACCCGAAATCGTCACATCCTCCTATGACGCGGCATGCGGCATCAGGTTTGGCATCAGGTTTGGCACGTGAAAGCCTGATACAATTCACCCGAATCTATTGGAAATCCTATTGCATGATACTAGACGTGCCTCCAAAATGAAAGCACATTCATCATCATTCACCAGTCTGCGGGATCCTTGAAAGGGGAGAACTCTTGTTCTACACACCCGTTTCATTAGGCACCACTCGTAAATGCCACATCAATTCTGATGCAGTCTCGAACGCGGCCTGGCCCTTCTCGGCACCAATGTGTTCAGGAATCATGGGCGGTCCACGGTGATAGTTTCGCAAGCCAAGGGTGATGTACATCCTTGGGTTGGCCTTCAACATCTTCAACTACCTTTACAAATAGAAACTCCAAAAAGAAACTGTCCTATCCTAACATGTAAAAACTATCAAACAAAAACTATCCTAACAAGGCTTCTAGGATATCTTCAACTACATGTAAAAACGAAAGACTTTCAACAAAGAAACTCCAAACAGAACGAGGAAAAAAAACATCTGAATAGCCTGGGGGTCTTCTGATCCAGCTGGCGAAGGTCTGCTATCCCAGGGCGGTTCAAGAATCGGGTGCTCGCTTGTTGCACCATCCCCAGGAGCGTTGTGAAGAACGGTGACGCCCATGATGCCCACTGTTCATCCGGCGTGCTGAAGGTCAAGACCACTCGAAAGCGGTTGGGCTCACCTGCGGTTGAGAGTCTTCACATGGCAATGGGGTGGCCAGCTTCCGACAATGGAAAGCCAGGTTCTGGTTTCTGCAATTGACTGTAACTGAGTTGTGTATGTGTATCTTATATATATATATATGTATGTGTGTATATACTATATACATATGCGTGTGCGTGCGCAAACGTCTGCGTTCTCACTTGTGTGTGTGCATACGTCTGCAAAGTTTTCATCATCAGCAAAGCCACCCTCGCTCCGACCAATCATCACAAAGTCCTGGTCATGAAGGATCAAAAGTCAACTAATTAACTGGTCCGGACACGAAATCCCAAGGGGAATCCAGTGACCCTTTGCCCTGAAAGGCCGCTCTCCCAAGTGCCTCAAGTGAATCGAATGCTTTTTGGCCAATCCGTCGGTTTGGTATGCGTTCCCAACTCCTAGAGTCATCCTCCATTGCTTCTCGTCCTGTTCATTCCCCCCCGCCCGCCCCTGGGGTCCCAGGCTCTTCTAGCAGGCCACAAAATGCCCAAAATACCCATATTTTAGTAGCGATGCCCTTGCCGATATGCTACTCAGCTACTCTTCAATCTGCCAATTTGGGGGAGACTCCCGACAGAGCCAGTCCCTGCGCCACCACCTGCTGGGTTCCCTGCGGGTCAAGCCGCGGGTCCTGTCCAGTTCCATGCACATCCTGAAAGGCTGCATAGGCACAGTCCCCTGTCTTTGGAAAGTCTCTGCGGAGTCGTGAGCGCGTCAAGGTGGGTTGCAGGCTGTAAAAGAAGGTGCTCCTTGGCAGAACCGTGGCGCAGAAAGGTATAAACCGCTACAAGCCCTGAAGGTGGAAAAATGTCATCCAACTCTAGATTACAATTTCAAAGCACAACGAGCCCTGCTGTAACAAAACCAACAAAACCAGAACAACACAACACTAAACAAAACAAACACAAGAACACAAACAAACAAACAAACAAACAAACAAAAAAACAACAAACAAACACACAAACAAACAAAAAAAACACGCACATGTAAATATCAATCCCGTTTAAAAATGCCCCTGACGTGGGGGTACCCCGTTCTATAGTATAGATCGTCTGGACATGTCTGGACCCTCTAAACAAATTGACAATGCCTAGATTCTGCCTAGGCACAGCTTCGGCCTACTATAGAATGCTATTTATGACAACCTTGACCATTCTAAATATATATATATATCATATCGTGGAAATATGTGGATATTAACTATGTCTATGATAAACATCTACAGTAAATGTATATCTGTACTTGTATGTGTCAATCGATGTACAGTACATTGATTGCATACTTGCCGTTACTCATTCAGCTCTGATGAAGCAATAACACGGAGCATCCTTGTGAGGGCAGCTTTTTTTAACTCGAGATTGCTTTGCCGTGTTCAGTCCCCCCGATAGCCTTTGTCTGAGAATCGAGAAAGGACCCGCGTAGTTGCCGAACAGCACCGAACCATAGCGGAAGGACGTCATGGGGCGCGAAAGATGTTCCAAAATCCCATCCTTAGATCCACCCCGCGAAGAAAGTTCCGCACCTGCGCGGAGCCTCGGGCCTTTGGAAAACGCGAGGCTCCCTGAAAACGCCCGGCAGTTTGGACGAATCAACCGGATTCAAAAGTTAATCTGCATATGGTTTTGATATGTTGTGATCATAATCACATTACATGCACATATTCAAGTTATTTGTGTGGGTGTATATGTGCCATACAAGGGTCATTCGTCATGGGCATTTTATCTCACATACCTGGGATGAAGACTGCATAGCCTTGTAGGGACTGTACCCCAAAAAGGTCGAGCTCAAATTTCTGAAAAGCGAAAGCCTCAAAAGCACCGAATGAAGTTATGTGAACATCAAGAAGCAAAACCAAACGACCAACAACCTGAATGGCAGCCATCCGGAGCAACCAGACCTACATGTGCAAACTGTGGATTGAAACCACTCCAAGCATCTCCAGGTGCAAGGGTCTGTTGCCACTGCATCGTGGCATCCTCCTTCTCCTTCCAGACCGAATGGCCATACTGCGCTCTCACCTCGGGCCTTCCACGGGAGATATTCAGCAAAACAAAGCAAAGAGTTGCGACAACAGACCCTTACGGGCCCGTAAGACTGAAAGAGTGGGGACCTAGGGCCTGGAAAATCAGGAAAGTGAGGGAGGACTCAGTAAGACCCCTTACTGAAGTAGTTCCAAGATATAATATAGCAATTCCAGTACGTCGTTTTGACGCCCGTTTAGACTTGGAAGAGCCGGCACCTTTGCAAGAAACTCACTATCAACAATCCCCTCTTAATTATGGTTTGTTACTGTAATTACATGTTCTTCTATTAGCCTGGGGAGAGGCTACTACCGTGAAGGCGCGCTCGAACTAATCATTTGGTTCCTAGATGCTTTGGGAAACTGAAGCTGCTTGCTGGAATTGCATGGGATCAAGGCTTCAATCCAAAAACGCGCCTCACAAACAGCTCGCAGGGCTTCTCTGGAGCATCCTTTACAAAGACATTCCTGAGGTCGAATCTGATCAAGCGGATTCCTTGCTCTCCCCATTCACGATGGGAAAGGGAGGCATTGGGAATGGTGGCAGCCACCTTCCAATCTGAGTCCGACATACACGACTTGGCCAGCTCAAACCATGCACGAACCCGATCGGTCGAGGCCACCATGGCACGCGAACGGAGAAGCGTTGACTTGGGCTGCACGCACTGGATCCGAGAACAGCACGGAGAACAGCACTGTTCAGCATGAAAAACAACGAAGGAAGGAAAAAACACCGGCGCTCTCATCATCAGAATCACTATATCCCGACTGATATATATATATATATTAGCATTAGATACCTCTCTTGCACACACAATACCCGCCTTTCTACAAGCCCTTTTGGGGAACCTCTCCACTCAGAGCGATGGCACGGCAGCAAACCTTAAGTGAAGAAAAGGACAACCGCGCTGCATTCTGCGTTGTCAGTAGGAGCCCAGGATTCTAAAGACTGAAGTCCCGGGAATTATAGTCACATCCTCACTCCTCACTGACACCCTGGCTGTCAGCATCTTCCACTTGAGTGAGGGCCTGGGTGAGAAATTGCATCCGAAAGTTTGGATCGTCCATCTGCACCTCAGTCGCCGGCTTCGACCGCTTCACCGAGGCGATCTGAAACATCCGACCCGAGGCTTTCCCGAGTTCCGGTGACCTCTTCGTGAGGTCAAAAAGTTCCAAAAGCAAGTGAAGCCATGAAGGATCCTGATGTATGATTTATGATGTTTTGATGATGTTTTGAAGTGTTTTGTTCTATAAGATTGGCATGAGGTTCCTCCCACAAAGTTAGGATCACAGGCACCACCTCTCGCTTCTCACTCGCTTGTCTGCAAAAACAATTATTTAAAAAAGAAATATAATATTGTGGGGCATCTCAGTCCCTGTGAATTGACAAGATTTGTCACAAAACAAGTGCATGAGAGCCATTCAGAAAAATCTGATGCAAACAACGCAATGTCAACGCCAAGTCCCAAAAGTCACCGGGCAATCATTGTGAAAATAACACCTTCCAATGCCGTCAATTCCATCTCTATGCACTGCAGCGACCAATCATTTTGGATGTCCTTCTCTTTTCAGTGCGAAGGGGAGGTAAGCAAAAGCACACAACACGATAGTCTCCATCTCGTGTTCAACATGGTGCGGTACTACTTCCTTCAACAGCCGCATCCCGCTCAGATCCTAACATCTTGCCCTAAATGTTCAGAGGGCACTATGTTGTATTATGTTGTAATATTTATACATGTTCTTTTGGTCACTTGGATTGGCTCTTGAAGGGCAGCACATCAGCTCTACCCCGACCCACCAGCTTGAGCATATTCCTGTGCATCTCTGTGCCCGCCTACGGTGGGCTTGTCACGTTCTCGAGTAGATATGAAGTTTGTCCCAAAAAAAACAAACAAACCCAAACGAAGTGGTCGTTCTTTGGCTGTTTTTGTTTGGACGTCCATCCATGGCAAGTCCAAATCCTAGACCTGGCCAGCCCCCGAAGAGATCCCAGGCGGCTGAGGCGCGCGGAAGGCACGAGCCCGTGGTACCTGCCGTGGTGGCCAAGACTCTGGAGATTGTGCTGGCTCACGCTGCGCAGCGCTCGCGGGATATTTCCTGAGCAGCAATTCTGGTGCTAAGCAAGATGTGGTGGTGGCTCTGAAAACGGAACACTTTGTGGAATAAAATCAGAGATTCCAGTGACATGGATTCGCACACAAATGACGGCAACATCACCCCCATGTCCATTACCAAGGTCTGTCATGGGTCCGCAACCCCCCCGAAGTGGTCAATCCACATCCACTCACGCAGAGAGATCATGTGATATAGTAATTACATATATCATCTATATAACATCTATATATACACACATATCCCTGCATATGATCGCATATGTATGTATTTTACATCTCCAAGCCCCATCGACCGGCTGGCCAGTGGCCTCCTGAGTTCCACCCCGTGGCACGCACGACGGCGCGAACGGCCGCTGCCCAGTGCAGCCCGGCTTCGAGAACTGGGTGAGAAGACCTGTCAGGGTTGCCTCGGAAAAGGGACATTGGAAAGCAAAAAACAAGTAGCGATGGCCTCCCTAGTAGCGATGGACTCGAACACCTAACATCAGGCAAACTTAAAGTGTATTTTTTAACTTTGCGCGTGATTATTACCGTGCTTCCGCAGGACCCCCCCCCCGTTATCAAAGTTGAAAAAGAAATAATCATATCAGACTTGTTCTGTCCACCAGAGTCCTAGCCCTTCGGAAAATGAGAGTGTCTCGACATATTTCGGCCAAACCAGTGTTGGACCTTCCTGAACTACCCTTTCAATGCCAGGTGATATTGTTAATATAAGATTTAATAAGTCATACTGTAACTGGAATAGATGGACTAGACTTGAATATCTGAGATCTGCACAATGGGACCTTCATCCAAAACGATCCAAGATGCACATATACTTGCAAATCATATACCGTATAAACTTATTAGTGTGTATATATATAGTTACTTTGTATAATTCATGTATAATACTGGCGGATGGACTCGAGCTTTGAATGTTTTTAGACCTGGCCAGACTCCCCGTCACAGTGAACCAGCATGTGAACCAGCATGTGTTTCCGTGGACCATTTCGACACATCGGGTCCACCTCTTCGCACCTCGACCACCGGACGTGGTGCTATCACTGACTCTCTGGTCGGCTCTAAACCCAGGATCGAGACGACAGAACCTCGAGGTCAAAGGACCATGTCTTTAGACGGTGTTCTTCTCCACCATATGCCAGGAGCCAAAGTTCATGGATGAAACAACAGCTCAGCATCTACATCCTCTTGGGACAACAGGTGATCTCTGCAAACCGGGTGTGAGCCGGGTCGGTCTGCCAGTCGGTGGTCAAACAAGTTTACATTTCAGCATGCCACGGTGCAGTACAGTACTTCACTTCCAAGCATCCGGACGCGCAATCCGAACCCCAATCCACATAAAACCTCGACGAGTGGCATGGAACTGCTTCCAGCTTTCTGGTTTCTCAAAGAGTTTCTCGACCACCTGGAGCCATTCCTGGAGGGACCAAAAGCCTCAAGCATCGGACGGGATCGGGCGTCGAGGCGCGTCCTGAAGAGGATCCGCTTTGGGGGAGCAAAAGGAATGAAGTGGAATGAACATGATGTGTTTCCGGCTCTTCGGCCCTTCGGCAGTGGAGAAGATTGATTTCCAGAGTTTCTCCTGCTGGACCCTACACCAAGTTCTCCCCAGCTCATCCTCGTGCTTCCTCAGGGAGCGCTATCCTCGCATTTAGGCCCAATTTAGGCCTCACCCCCATCTGCCCCGACTCTGTCTGCAGCTGCACGGCTCTTGTAGGTCTCAAAGTCGATCGCCTGGTCGTGGCCCAAACTGCTGGCCTTCTCCTGCCAAGCAAGGCGTTCAACTGAGTGGTGTTGCCAGGCAAAGAGCAGGAACTTGCTGAGAAGAACTCAACTACCCGTGTCGGTCGTAGGACTTGGCCAAGGAACTTGCAGCTGTCTTGAACAATAGACGGGTATTTAGACAAGTGTTAAGTAACTAGATGAGCCCCAGAAACAAAGTGGCCAGACATTCTCAGGGGTTTGCTGGTCCTCCCAAACGGATATGGTAAAGGGACTGGTAAAGGGAAACCCGGACTTGTAGCTTTACTGCTACAGTATAGGTGGCCATATTCTCTGTCTCCATCAATGGATATCAATGGGATCTCAATGTCCAACAAATCAATTATCAACAACAACTAGAGCAAACCTGCCCACAAAATCTAGGAACCACATGAATAGTGCAAGCATGTGCCAGCGCTATTCAGCATCCTAGCTAGGGGCTTCCTATTGCTATTAGCGAACTACACCCGGTCCCTTATTAGCTTAATCAAGTAGGCGCCTACTACTTACAGTAATTAAGTAAGGAGGCAGGGCCACGGGCTTATTAAAAACCAACGAGAACAACAACAACAAGAACAACAACAACGACCACAACCTTCCGCCCTTGTGGCCAGACACACCGTCACGTTGGAAGCGGATGGCATTCGGACCCGCCTCCGTCCCCGCGACCGGACCGGCCTCACCGGCCTCAGGGTTGCTCCGAGGACCGGTAGCCGCACAAAACGACGGGAGCCGCAAAGCAGCTGATTGATGTCACTTCACTCCAAAGGGAGCTCTGGGTTACCCAGAGAACTTCTTACAAATACTCCTCATTTGTTGCGTGGCTTTAGGCATAGCCTAAAGTCGGCCATCTGATTTACTTCAAGAGCATGCGTGTCTTGAATCTACATGGGAAAGCTTGATGAATTCACAAGTGTGCTAAAGATTACTGTAAGTTTATATACGTTTAGAAAATATGTGTAAATTCCTTCTTTGTGCTTGGAATTTGTTTTAAGAGGAAACCGAAGGACTAGGCTTCCTGCGGCTGCTTCAGTCTGGCTGGCCTGACGGTGATGAGAAGCTCCAATCAACACAAATCGCATTGGCCGGTCACAAGAATCAGGAAGATGAAGCACAAAGGCCAGTGAGTGAGGCCACTACCACTCCGCCGGAATTGCCTGAAGCGTTGGGGCACTCTCCAGCGAGTACGGCAAAGGTGCCTCAGAGGCGACCCGTTGACCGACACCCTGCAGCGGTGTTGGAGGGCCGGTTTTCCCTACACAACTTATATATACATGCACCATTGCAGGTGTAAACAATAAAAGTCATGGACAACAACCTCCTGCCGCCATGCACGCTCATTCTGGGGAGATGAGCTTGTTTCAAGAACAAACAGGCGGCAACGGGCCTAAATCTCCGACTGCTAGTGACTGAATCAGTGACAAACAAATTCTTTACATTCAACATGACTCAACTTACACTAAGGATAGTTGCACTTCAAGGGTTGGGATCCAGTCCGTTGGGCAGTACTTCAACACTTCTATATATATATATACTAATATATAGTTATGCAAATCTTCTACACTTATATATCAATCTGCATCTTGCCGTGCTACGTATCTGCATCGAATTGCTCAATGTAATTGTAGTGTACCCTGGAGTCCCTCTGCCTTGTGTGAAACCATGATTTCTCGAGGGTGCGAAGCCAAGGCCACTCTGAATGAACTTTGGTGACCTGCCAACTGCTCCCAACTGCCCCTTGCTGCGCACCT